TGGTGGACAGGATGGTGGACAGGATGGTGGACAGGATGGTGGACAGGATGGTGGACAGGACGGTGGACAGGACGGTGGACAGGATGGTGGACAGGATGGACACAGGGACAGTGTGGACACAGCTGAAGTCACTCTGATGAGAGAGTTTACTGAGTGGAAACGGGTGAAAGGCCTGAGTAGGACAGTACGCGGTCAGCTGTAAGTGTTCCTCTCTGATCCACCTGTTTGACTTCATCATCATCATCATCCTCATCATCCTCATCAGCTGTTTGTTGCTCTGTCCTGTAGGAAGGTCAAGCCCAACACTGCAGAGCTGATCCAGCTGCAGCCTGGAGAGAAGCTGGCCTACGTGAGCGAGAGGTTCTACAGCAGCCACAGGGTCCAGGTCTGGACCAGAACCTCAGTGAGCAGGAGCACCGGGTCAGAACTCCTGCATTTTTCCACTGCAGCGCCGAAGGTAAGGGCTTCCTGCTGGGAGCGTTCAAGGTTCCTCTTTCAGCAGCTCTTAGAAACTGGGTCAACACACACCAGGACTCTGGACCAGTTCTAGTCTGGTCCACCTTGACCCACAACAGGCTTATTGGTTCCACAGGATCCAGACTTGATGTGTTCTTGTCTGACCCCTCAGGAGGAGAACCCAGAGCTGAGAACCTTCTGTGTTCCAGAACAAACAGTTCTGCTGTTCCGTCTGCAGGAGGTCAACCTTTGGGACGATGTTCTGAGTAAGACCCTAAGTCTGGTCCTGGTTCTGGTTCTGTCTCAGAGGACTTGTCCTGAAAGATCTTTAATCTCACGTCTGGTTCTTCTGGTTTGGTTCTAGATGTTCCGATGCCGATGTGTGGCTATGGGAGGAGAGGTTTGTTTTGATTTAAAGGATTTTATGATCTGATTTATTCAAGTCAAACTAAAGAACTTCTGTTGCTTTGATAGAGCTATTCTTTTCTGGCATACAACATGTGATGATGGAGATCAAAGGTGAGTTTCCCTTTGATGATGGAGATCAAAGGTGAGTTTTTGTCTGATCTACAGCAGCTCCAGTCAGGTAGGGGCGTCTGCAGACAAGTAGGCGTTTCCAACAAAAGGCGGTTCACAGTCTACTACTCCTACTCTTGTGACACACCTACTCTTGTGACACTCCTACTCTTGTGACACACCTACTCTTGTGACACACCTACTCTTGTGACACACCTACTCTTGTGACTTAACTACTCTTGTGACACACCTACTCTTGTGACACACCTACTCTTGTGACACACCTACTCTTGTGACACATCAACTCTTGTGACTTAACTACTCTTGTGACACACCTACTCTTGTGACACACCTACTCTTGTGACACACCTACTCTTATGACACACCTACTTTTGTGACACTCCTACTCTTGTGACACACCTACTCTTGTGACACATCCACTCTTGTGACACACCTACTCTTGTGACACATCAACTCTTGTGACACACCTACTCTTGTGACACACCTACTCTTGTGACACTCCTACTCTTGTGACACACCTACTCTTGTGACACACCTACTCTTGTGACACATCTACTCTTGTGACACTTACTCTTGTGACACTCCTACTCTTGTGACACACCTACTCTTGTGACACTTACTCTTGTGACACTCCTACTCTTGTGACACACCTACTCTTGTGACACTTACTCTTGTGACACACCTACTCTTGTGACACTCCTACTCTTGTGACACGCCTACTCTTGTGACACTTACTCTTGTGACACACCTACTCTTGTGACACTTACTCTTGTGACACACCTACTCTTGTGACACTTACTCTTGTGACACACCTACTCTTGTGACACTTACTCTTGTGACACACCTACTCTTGTGACACTTACTCTTGTGACACTCCTACTCTTGTGACACGCCTACTTTGAGTCTGCAGGGCCCTTTCTGGCTCCAGTAACACTGGGACCTGCTGAAGGGTCGTGGTAACAGGTTTGTTTGCTCTCTGCGTCCTGCAGAACAGTACAACAACCGCTATGAAAAGGTTCTGAAGCCGCTGTCAGAACTTCCTGAGTCGGGTCGCAGTGACCTGCTGAACAAGCTGCTGCAGGTCCTGGAGGACCGAGAAGTTCTGCAGCTCCTGGAGGACAAAGTAAGAGATGAGATCAGATCTTCATCAGGTGATGAGTACAGGTCTAAAGGTGTCCTCTGTCCTCCTCTCAGCTGGACGGAGACAATGATGTCCCACAGTCTGAGCTCCTGGTCTCCTTCATGGACCTCCTCTCTGGATCCAAAGACCTGAGAGAAGCTGCTCGGCTGCTGGTCTCAGCTCTGAACGGTAATCTGACCAGAGCCAAGAGTTCTGTGAAGGTTCCACTGAGTGTTCTCCTGATGTTCCCCTCATGTTCTCCCGATGTTCTCCTGATGTTCTCCTGATGTTCTCCTGCTGTTCCCCTCATGTTCTCCTCAAGTTCTCCTGATGTTCTCCTGATGTTCTCCTCATGTTCTCCTCATGTTCTCCTCATGTTCTCCTGCTGTTCCCCTCATGTTCTCCTCAAGTTCTCCTGCAGTTCTCCTGATGTTCTCCTCATGTTCTCCTCATGTTCTCTTCATGTTCTCCTCATGTTCTCCTCATGTTCTCCTGCTGTTCCCCTCATGTTCTCCTCATGTTCTCTTCATGTTCTCCTCATGTTCTCCTGCTGTTCCCCTCATGTTCTCCTCATGTTCTCCTGCTGTTCTCCTCATGTTCTCCTCATGTTCTCCTGATGTTCTCCTGATGTTGTGAGATGTTCTGGTTCTCTGCAGTTCTTCCTGATGACAGTCCAGCTCTTCTGGCTAAATGTGACTCAGAAACACTGAAGTTCCTCCAGAACAAGGTTTGTTGATCTTTCCTGCAGAACTTCAGTCTTCTGTTCTCCAATCATCTCCCTCTGTTCTGCTTCTGTCTGCAGATGGAACGTCTTAATGAGTTCCCCAAGTTCCTCTGTCAGCTCAGAGATCTGTCTGCAGAGTCTCCTCTGGTCCAGGAGAAGGAGGTGGAGGCAGGAGGAGGAGGCAGACTGGCAGCAGGGTTGTCCTGGCTGGAGACCTTCTTCTCTTCAGTCAGAAACCTTCAAGATCTGAAGTCCACCTGGGACTGTCCAGACTTCTCTCCAGAAGGTCTGCTGGAGGTCCTGTACCTGAGTGTGAGGGGTCTCATTCTGCTGCAGCCCTGAACCCACCTGGACCACCTGGACCACCTGGACCACCTGGACCACCTGAAACATTTGTTTTCTCATCACTTCCTGGTTTCCTGTAATCTGGATTAATGTGGTTGATATATGCTGACAGATTATTATTTTACGTTTTATCAGTTYAACCCAATAAAAATATAAAACAGAAAATATTTTCTGAAGTTTTGTTATTTTTGTGTAATTTTGTTAAAGAATGAATGTTTTTATTGTTCAGATGATGTGTTTCAGGTCCATGTCAGACATGAAATCTGTCAACAGGAAGTGGCCCCGGTGTGCAGAGCATGACGCCATCTTGGAAAAGTCTTCTTAAACACAGGTCTGTTAAAATTGTAGCAGTCACTTACCAATACGTAAGGTTTTCTTACACCTCTAATAACAAAAGTTATAAGAGTTATAATTATTGATCAAGGCTTCGCTTATTTTCAGGCAACATCTGCTGTGAAAGTGAAAAACACACAACAATTTGATCCATAAACAAATGTGATCATTTATTTACATAAATTGAACAATCACAAGTGAACATCTTAATTGTGAGTAATCAATTTTCCTTAAAAGTTTAAGAATTAACAACAACTGAGCACGCGTCCGAGCTGAATTAATTATTAATTTATTTAACTTATTAACTATTCGTGTTTTTTATTATTATTTGTTGTATGTATATCAATTGTTTTGTTTATAAATGAAATGAATATTTTAAATAAATAAATAAATACAACAACTTTAGAAACAGCAGACATCAAGCCTAGATGTTAAATAAATCAGAATATTTTCAGGCACTTCAAACTTAGATTTTGGCAGAGCAGGTAGTTTAAGAGGGTAAAATGAAAACAGGAGGATTAGTTACTTCTGCTTTTATCTTAGGAAGTGTGAGTTCACCAGAATGAGTGTGAACTTCCACTGGACACAGGTGAGGTCAGAACACATCAGCCTCCAGCTGGAGATGACTTCTCCGTCCCGGTTCAGGTATTTAGGAAGGGTTCAYGCAGGTCAGCAAAGGACTCTGTCAGGAAACCTGCAGAGTTCATTTCTGTCTTCTGTTGTCTGCATCAAGTCAAACACAGAGGAAACGTCTCTCAGAGGAAAAGGTGTCAAATAATGACCTGTGGAGCCCTCAGAGCTCATGTGTGGTGGGCACAGCAGGTGGTGTTCACACCCGGGCTGCGAGTCCTGTGGAGAGACGATCAGTGGTTCTGTGCTGAGAACAGGAGGGTGGGCTCTGGAGTCCAGACTGAAACAGAAGGTTCATAACCCAGCTTTGTTTTTGATAATGTTAGTAAAAAGATATCAGAAGTTTTTAGCTTCTTCTGCGCAGTTACAGAAACACAACATGTCCTGGTGACCAGTTTCTCTTCAACACTGAAACAATGAATCACTGTTAAACTGATCAGAAAAGCARGTTTTTCTTGTCTGACTGTGAACTGAACTGTTTGGAAGATGAATCAAAGTTTTCATGAACTTTTCACCACAGTTAACACAGTGTCTGTCAGTGGTGTAATGACAGACACTGAGCTGACAGGAACACAGTTTAATTCTTTCCTCCAGCAGGGGGCGCTGCTGAAAACTGTGGGGTGGAACCAGGAGGGTCAGATCCTGAATAAGCACTAAACTAACACTAAAACTACAGACATGAACATGTTTTATTAAACAAATTACATAAACAAAGCTTGTGTTTGAGACTTTATACAGGAATAAAGTGACTAAAAACAAAAATAACCAGCAAAATAAAATGCAGTTTCAATCTAAAACATTGAACACACTAATGTGCAGTATATAAAATAAAAATGCAAATCACACAAAGAAAATGAATTATTTACTTTTGTTTTTAGTTAATCTGGCTTTTTATTGTATTTCTTCAAGGATTAACGGTTATTCAAAAACATCATTAAAAATTTAATTGTAGCGTCTCATCTTTGTGTATTTTAATTTTATTTATTATTTTAATTATTAAATTKATTTAATCCCTGAAACAAAACAATCACATGGTCAAATAAAAAATAAATAAAAGCTTCAGAACATTTTCTGTTTTTAAGCAGCAGGCGGTCACAGTGCTGTTTTGTCCGACGCTCCTGAACGCCTCACCGCTCTCTGAGGATGACGTGTCACCAAGACCCGGAAGCGCTCAGTCAGTCCAAGATGGCGTATCAGACGCTGCAGCAGGAGTATTTACAGATTCCTGTTGTCACCAGAGCTTACACGACGGCCTGCGTCCTCACCACCGCTGCAGTGGTAAGACCCAACAGAACCGAACCGAACCCGCTCACGGTTCCGGTTCGGTTGTCCGTCCCGCGAGCCGCTGCGGGTGTTGAAGGAGAGAGACGTGCTGAGCTGATGATTCAGGAAGTTAGCTGCAGGTTTCTGTCCTAAAGAGCTCCGAACAGAACCGGGTCAGAATCAGAACCTGTCACCGAACCTCAGGACTGTTTAATGAAGTCAGGTCCAGGTTCTGAAACCGACAGGTAACATCTACCTGTTGTCTACGTCACAGGCTCCCTGAACACCTGCAACGGTTCGTTTCAGGTCCGGACTCTCCAGGTCTGCCTGAGACTCAGAACCTGCTGCAGGTCTCAGGTCAGACTACAGGTCTCAGGTCAGACTGCAGATCTCAGGTCAGACTCTACAGTACTCAGGTCAGACTACAGGTCTCAGGTCAGACTGCAGGTCTCAGGTCAGACTCTACAGGTCTCAGGTCAGACTACAGGTCTCAGGTCAGACTGCAGGTCTCAGGTCAGACTCTACAGTACTCAGGTCAGACTACAGGTCTCAGGTCAGACTGCAGGTCTCAGGTCAGACTCTACAGTACTCAGGTCAGACTCTACAGGTCTCAGGTCAGACTGCAGGTCTCAGGTCAGACTCTACAGTACTCAGGTCAGACTACAGGTCTCAGGTCAGACTCTACAGGACTCAGGTCAGACTGCAGGTCTCAGGTCAGACTGCAGGTCTCAGGTCAGACTGCAGGTCTCAGGTCAGACTACAGGTCAGACTCTACATGTCTCAGGTCAGACTCTACAGGTCTCAGGTCAGACTCTACAGGTCTCAGGTCAGACTCTACATGTCTCAGGTCAGACTCTACAGGACT